AAAGTTACAGCAAAAAATAAGGCACTATTTCAATTTTCTCGCTGGCATTGTATACATACTTAACAATAACTTTGGTCTTCTTTACCTTCTGGGGATGGTATTTCTAAACAATCATTTATCTTGATGTCTAACCTCCTCCCTTTCTAGTACTTTTGTCTTCCTTGAAATGTAACAGATAACTAAGAAAAAAAGACTGTGGTAGAACGAAAAGAAGACTTAAGGGATGGGGAGGAATACGCAGTATCTTGTTAGCTTCTGGGAGCAGGAGTAAATTTATCACATATTTAAAACAAACTTGCACATTGCTTGGCCCAATTATAATATCTTCTGGGCAGAGAAATTAATTAAAGAGCAGAATGATAAAGGGCCCTGCAGCAAGTTATGTCTGAAAAATAAATAAGGTCTTTTTTGTTGGTTTTTTCCCTTCTTCCAGAAAGAAAGACAGATTTTCAAATGGTAATGTAAGTAGGTAATCTTTTTAGGAGTTCTGTGCATTGTAAATGAGACTGGCAGGAAACCCATCAGTCCAGGTCATAGTTCTGCTCTCCAACTTTTGTGATTTGCTAATGTGAAACACATGCATCCCTTTTGCACAAAGTTCAAATAACCCTGGAATTCCAACAGTGTAGCTCAGCGACTGAACCAGAACAAGGGCAGAACTTGTCAGGATTTAAGAGCTTTCAGCAAAGCCCTTCAATTGCAGTCAGCACCCCATTCCTTAGAAGGATATCAATTATAGATAGTGAGTTGCTTTAGCAAGGGGAGTCAGCGCTGTCAGACACTAGATAGACAACCATGAAGAATCATGAATCTTTCTATTAACTGTAAAAGAGAGGGAGGCTGGTGGCAGGGGCGGGGGTGGTGGCAGAGGGAAAAGGACGGATAGGTGCTATAAATAAGGCAGGCCATCTGAATACTTTAGCACATTACCTCTTAGTGCATGCATCATGAACATTTTAACTGAGCTGAGATCCTCAATAGCATGTGGCACTTGAACATAAGCACCAACTGTAGAAAATTGCAGCTGCTCTGAAAGATACCTAAGCGGACTGATCCTTCTTGTATGAGCCTGATGTTTATTTTATTTATCCATTCACAGCAAGGGACAGGTTGGAAATCTGTTGCGGATGAACTGATAACTACTGGTTCCATCCTGCATTTTTGCACAGCACTGAAAGAAGCATGAGTCATGGGAAAACAATGATTAAAGATGCCATCCACTTTCATCTAGGCTAACTGATGCCAAGGATCCTCAATATCCTAACAATAGGAGGGAAATCAGCAATTATATCAGTGGCATGGCAGTGACCGCAACCCACTTACTTGTTGATCAAGTAAGCTTCGAAACAATGCTGTTCAAACAATGCTTTTCAAACCCTTAGAGAACTCCTCATATCCTGGATCATCTGCCAAGGAGCATTCATGCATTGGAGAGGATCCAGGCAACTGCCCCAGAGTGAATGTTCAGTTTCCACACAGCACTGGTTGGGCATGTGCCCCACAGAGAACAGGCCTCCGAAGAACTGCAATTATAGGAAGTTTACCTGTCATGATGATGCTTCGTATCAAAGAATCCCTTATGTACATTCATGGAACATAGCATTTTACCAGACACAGACGGTGCTGCAGTACCTCTGGGAAGCATCCAATGCTGCCTCTGCTGCAGCAACATAAATGACGTGGTGCTGGCACACACCATTCCCAGCACAATACCAATTACCCCTGCCTGCATGCCAAGCTTTCCAGGGAAACCCCTAGTGCAGCAACCGCTACTGGCATTGTGCTAGGTCTAGTTTATGCTAATGCAGTATCATGTACATAACTGGTTGTGCAGCACTGGATATTACTCATTGCTTAAAACACCTGTAGGTGGTATGGATGACCACTTACATTTCTCTGATTCACAAAGGAAGCATGGATGGTCTGTTGCTTAGGGTTCAGGGTCCAATTTTGATTCAGCCATGGCCTTCCCAGTTGGACTTCATCTACACTCACTGTTGTTTATTTGCAATATTTCTGTACTGTTCTTCACTACCAGAAACATTTTTAAGGCAATTAGCAGCAAAGGACAGGATACCTCTGATAATTAACATAATGACAGTACAATCCTTTACATATTAAAGCAACTACTGAGCAGAGTTTGTCTGAAGACAAAGAAGACCAAATTATGCCTAACAGGAAAATGCAAGTTGAGTTAGCCCACGTGTCCACTAGCCTTTAATGAAAAGCTATTTTGGAAGGAACTCCATTTGGAGTAGGGGTGGTATATAAATGCAAAAATAAAATAAGGATCTGAGGGAATGAAGAAGTGCTACAGGAAGTAAATGAAGGCAAACAATTACAGTGGTACCTTGGCTCACAAACGCCTCAGTTCATGACCAAATTGGGTTGTGAACAGAAATTTCAGAAAAAAATTGACTCAGGTCACAAACTCTACATCGGGTGACAATCGTGATTGTGTCCCTGAATGACTGTGGTCGTGCTGTGGGGGCGGGGGGAGATGGCTGTGCTCACGTTCATTGCCCTACATGAGCGTGCCTGCGATCGCACCCGTCTCCCCCCCCGCCAGCACGATCACTATCACATGATTATGGTTTGGACTCTCCCTCCAAACAATAACTCCCCCCACCACCTAGATCAGTGTTCTCTACTGTACTGTACTTTGTTACTTCGTTTCACATTTTTATGATTAAAAAAAAGTTACATAACGGACCTTATTTACATTGAACCTTATGGGGCAATTTGACTTGGCTCGTGACCAACTGGGGTCACGACCAGAGTCCTGGAATGGATTAAGTTTGTGGGCCGAAGTACCACTGTATTTGGAAAGATATCAGAGGGGAAAAGAGCAAACTACAGCTTACACATAGTGACATGGTTTACATATAATGAAAACCTATAGGTTAAACAGCCCATGGTGCCCAGTGGCTGAACCACTGTTTGTAGATTCATATGTTACACTCAGCAACCTATGAAAGAGTCCCACATGAGTTGCTGAGTAAAAGCAGAAAAGGCAGACACACCACAGGCATGCCTGCTCATCCTCACCAGATCATAGGTTGTTATATGTGAACTATCCTGCTGTAGAGTTTGCTGAATTTGATTAATATTGATATGCCCAGACAAGTGCTTATAGTCCCTGGCAAATGTGGTGATTGTCCAAAATCTCAGTAATATAGCAGGGGAAGGTGAAGTGGAGCTATCAATATTCTCCTGTCTTTGTCCAAATGCTCGATAGATAGATGGATGGATTGATAGACTGATTGACTGCATTTGTATGCCATCCCACAGCCTGGGGGCTGAGTGGCTCACAGGAAAACATAAAGCAAGGAAATTACAGTCTAACATTCACAAAATGTACCCTGTTAGCTTTCAAATGTGAATGGAAGCTTTCACAGTAACATGTGTGATATTTAAATTAAGGCTACAATCCTGTTGTACAGTTCTGCACAGATGTGCATACAACTGCACCCTATTCATGTGGATGCATTATTGTCAGGATCTGGGCAACTATCAGGGCTCCGCCTGCTGGCCAAGCACCAGAATAACAGCCCTGATAGTTGCAGGATTTATCCCAGATTCTACTGCAGTGCCAGGGCCCTCACAAGTACCAGCTGGGAGCCCTGGGGGAAGAGCTTTTTAAGAACTGGCTCTTCCTTCCAGAAGCTGCCTCAGTGTGCTGCAATTTTTTGCTGTGTCTGGCACACTACTGTAAGGTACCTGCTCCTGGTTGTTTTGACTCATTGGCTCCTGCCCCTTGGCCTGCTCTGACTATGCTCTTGCTTATTGGACTACACTTCGTCTTGCCGCTCTGTTCATTCCTGGCTCTGACCTTGGCTTGTCTGAATTATGACTTGGACTTGGTTTGGACTGATGACAAGACATTGGCCTTGTTGCCTGAATCCTGGTGCCTGTATCTGTTACCTCCCTGGGCTGTTACAATTACATTTATTTAATTTGTCAAAAGCTTCAAGGAAACCGGGATTTTACATAGTACAAGAAGTTCAACAACAGAATTATGTTCTGATCCAATTCATCAACCCCAACCCTGCTGACCAAACATTTGTATTACTGACATGCTGGAATGTATTAGGCTTTGCTACATTAGCATCACTCCAAAGAAATGAGAATAGCATCCTAGTTTCACAACAATCTTTCAAGGGAGAGTATCCAAAGTGATACAGTGAGTCGTATAGCCAAGCAAGAATTTTCATTTGAATTTTACTGGGATTTATTTATCACTTTTATAAGCAACCCTTTTTCAAGGATCTCAAAGTGGTATTCCCAGGGCTGCTCTATCTAGCCTCCCAGAAATCCTATTAGACTGCTCAGTTAGACTGAGGAAAAACTATACCTTAAATGCCATAAATATATATGGGGCATGCTAGGAAGGTGGGAACCCTATGATCTATGAGTGGCTATGTTAGTTTAAGAGGCTAGCGTATTCTCTCCCACTGGCAATGCTATCCAGTTTTGTGTCCATTCATGGGAATAGCAGTAACACAACGTACTTTCATTCTTCTAAATAATCCACTTCAGCTTATTCACACAACAGAAAATTGATACATAAAATGCACCACAAATCTTTAGGGTTGCAAGGGAAAATTTCTCCATCTCTCTTTTCTATTGTTAAAGTTCCCATTTGAAAGGGATGGAGGAATCAAACTTGGCAAGAGGTTAATAATAACTCATGTCCAGCTTACTATTACTCAATAACTATCAAAGCCTCTGATTCAAAATAGTATTTTGTGGCTTACAGGATCAGAGCCATTACACTCTCTATTGAAGACTTTATTGAATTTTACACTAAGCTTTAGCTGACTGAACAGGTCAAACACTATAGCTCAGAGTTCTGCTTTATTCGCAGAAACTCATAAGCCCCTCTCCAGTTGGCAATGCTGTTCGCAAAGAAACTTGACTCAGCAAAGGGTCAGAGAACCCGACCCTGCAGAAAAGGTCACATAGTTTTTAAACCCAGTTCCTGAATGCCATTAACTTACATGCACTAGCTGCTCCTGCGTGTCAAACTCTCGTGAGCAGCCTTCCCAATGGCAGTTTGTCTCGTAAACTACTTCAGGCTCTTGCTTGCTTTCATCTTTGTCCCCTTCCTCTTTCACTAAGGTCATTCCTTCGGGTGCTTCCTGTGGGGAGGCAGTTTAGGAAAGGGAGCAGAGAGAAGAGGGAATAGGGAGAAAAATGAGAATATATTATGCAGCTTCAACACCCAGCAAAAACATGGGAAGGAAACCCCATATAGATTTTATGAACTCATTCAATGGGCTGTAGGTAAAATCCCAAGCTCAAAGAATGGAAAAATTCCAAAGACTGGAAGATGAATAATGTTTGTAAAGTGCTATGCTCCTTACCCCTTTTAAGAAAAGCTGGAAATAAATGTCTTTGTTTTCCTGCTTGTACTTTCAGTTCCTAGACTCAGCTGGGTCAGGGGGTGAAATGGGAATGACAAAGTCCAAACAGAACTCTTTGGGGAATGCTGTGACCCATTCTAAACTCAATTGGCAGGACAATGCAAGTGCCAATGCAAACAGGACAATTATCTTGGGCACAGGTGCCTTGATGCCAGAGGAACTGTGATCAACAGTAGCCACCTAACTACAGGTGTTAGGCAGGCAGCGTGATGCACAGGAGACGGATCAGAAATGGAAGTGCCATCCTGGAGACCAGGCCTTTTAAATCACCAGGAAGGTACAATCTGCCTCCAGCAAGTGGTCGAGTTGCCATCACTTGGCCTTTCCCAAGTGGTGACCTCAATTTGTTTCAGACTACAGCTCTCAGCTTCTCTGACAATAGGGCATTGGCATCTGGGGCTGACAGGAGCTGAAGTACAAAATATCTGGAAGGCACTGGGCTGGAGAAGGCTGCTGTTCAAACTCTGGGATTTCCTTAGCTATGAAAGCTTATTCCTGAGTATCACAGAGTGAAAAACAGAAAAGAAGCCTTATTGGAATGGATCAGGATTTGCATATGGATGCACAAACATACCAGTCATTCTAGACCATAATACTATTACAGACTGCTCTCAACTGGGTTCATAACGGAAGGCCCAAGGAACCAAAAGGTGCCCCAAATTGCCTCAACTTGCCTGCCAAATTCAGCAACAGCAAAACAAAAACATTTCCCCCTAAAGTGGCTATGTTAGGGCTATGCAGTACAAAGCAGGCCAAATTTAGCTTCAAACTTAGCCGTAACACTAAACACTGGCAGCAACAAGAGCGAACAGGCACCTCACAGAATACAGCCTGAGAGGGGCAAAATTGACCCTCGGACCTCCCAGAGTTGCCCATCCCTGGATTATAAGCTGAGAGAAAAAGCAGTATCTGTGGAGTACCTGCAATGTTCCTGCACCGGGGCTGGGGAGGTCATCATCTGGTTTGATCTTCGAACGCTTGTTATGCATCGGGTCCCCTGTACTACTCACTGCAGACTCACTCGTGGGTTTGCTCTGCTACACATATTTATACCCCAAAAGACACAATTAGGCCAACATCCAGATACATACCTTCAGACACAGTTATATGCAGATCATTCTGAGCAACCTGTTTTGGCCTGTTAGTTGTACCTGGTGTATGGCTGCCCTTCAGTTCAGTGCTGGAATTGAGTTTTCTAGGGCTGCAGAAGTATTTTTGATGCTCTCTCTTCATTATGGGAACAGTAAAATGGGCATGCAAGATGAACCAATATAAAGCAATGAGAGGAATTGTGTGCTCATATAATGGCAACACAAGCTGGCCCCTTCATGTTCCTACTTTTGCAAAACCAACTCTGGATTGAAGGCTATTCTAATGTTTGCTTCAGTGGGACAGGCTGTGGCTTAATGGTACAGCACATGCTCTGCATGGCAGAAGTTCAACATCTGGTACCTTCAGATAGGGCTGGGAACATTCCTGCCTGAAACCCTAAAGGGTGTCAACAATACCAGGTCATCTTTTGGATCAGTTTACATGACATGGCAGTCCACTGCTGGTTATTTAAATAATTATTAACTCACAATGAGGCTGTTGCATAAGAATTTAAGAAAAGTCATGTTGGTCAGACCCCAGGTCCATCTGGTCCAGCACTTTGCTGCAGGATCCCTCAAGCAGGACGGGTGCCAGACCTCCTCCCGCTCAAGCTCCTCAGCAACTGGTGCATGCAGGCAGGCTGTCTCTAGTAAAAGGGGTGGCATTTAGCCAGCACGACCAGTAGCCACCGACTGCCTCCTCCTTCATGAATCTGTCCAATCCCTTTTTAAAGCCATCCAGACTGGTGGCCATCACCACTTCCTCTGGAAGGAAATCTCATAGTTTAACTATAACATTAAATGTTAATATTATTGAATTTTATTTGGCCAGGGCGGCTTATTTTATTCTACTGTATATATTTTAATTGTTATTGTTTTAATTTATTGTGTATTTTATTCGATGTTGTGAGCCGCCCCAAGGCTTCGGCAAGGGGCGGCATAGAAATGTTTTAATAAATAAATAAATAAATAAATAAATAAATAAATAAATAACCAATCTTCCACAGTATATATTCAATATTCAATGAATATTCATATTCATGTTGGGTGAGGGTTACATGGGTTATGAATTCAGCAGCCCACACACAGGGCTTTTTTTGTCATAGCATGCACTGGAATGGCGTTCCGGCACCCGTTTTTGACAGATTTATCCAAGTGATTGTGAATTGCCCTGTTGGGCATAACATAGTGCCTGCGGGCTGCTTGTGTGTCGGTGCTGATTGTAGGCGCTGCCCTCGTCTCACCCCTTCTCCTCCCGAAGCTTTTCCCATTTGGTGTTCCCATCTCTTGCCCCGGTGGGGCCCAGACCTCTTCTCCAATAAACAGCCACCTCCCCTACTCTCTGCTTTCCATGTCTTGCGGTCTCCCTGCCGGGACAGCCCGCCCGCTCTGCCTGGGCCTGCTCCCAGCCCGCTTGTCTGAGGACAAGGGCCACCTCCTCACCTTCCCCCATCCTGGCGGCTTGAGCCTTGCAGGCTGCATTCAGACGGCCAGTCTCTGGGGAGCGCCTGCTGCCCTCCCGGGGTGGCATTTCCTTCGCAGGAGGTGAAATCATTTCACTCTCAGAGAAAACCATAATGGGGGGAGGCCACACTGAGAAGATCTTGCCGCATGCTGGGGAACTTGCAACACTTCAGATCTGGGGAATTGCTACTCCCATCTTACTTTGCCAGCAGGTAGGCTGGTTGGGGCTGATGGAAATTATAGGCCAGCAATGTCCGAGGGTGTGTGTGGGGGAGGGTGCAGGTGCTTCTGCTGTACTCTGAGCTTGAGAATGATGCAAGGGAACAGCCGTACATTCACTTCCTTGCACGTGTGCACACAAACCCCCCTGCAGTCTGAAATGTTAGAGCCCAGCCAACTGAGAGACTCTGCAGTGGGGGCGGTTTGCTTGTGGCCATCCAGATGTTGCTGGGCTCCATTAGTTTGAGACAAGTTTGCTAATGCAGGGGGAAGATGAGAACTGTAGTCCAGCATCAGCTGGAAAGCTGCAGCCTTCCCTCCTTTGTTCCACCACCTCCACCATTTTGCCCTGTTACAAGAGGACATAAGAGCACTCAGCTGCCCATTTGCCCTCGCTCACCACCCCCCTTTTGTGTACACAATCAAGGTGATTTTCAGAGAGTGGCACAGGGCTTGTTTATGCCTCTAAAGCACAGGAGGGTACCCTCCAGTCTGGACCTCAGGTGGCCCATGGAAGTGGCTTGTTCAGCCCATGGTCGCATGAGTGCTTACTGCCGGTGGCAACCATTGTGCAAAAGTGTGACCCCAAGACGTGAGTTCCGGCACCTGTTTTTTTTACAAAAAAATAGCACTGCCCACACATAACCCTAAAACAGGCCATGGGTTACTTAACCTCCAGATAGCTCATGCTCATTGGGTTTGCTTCATACAACAATCCATAAGCAAGGGTTGGATTTGCAAGTTGGAGCACATAGCATCACTATGAGTTAAATAGTGCATGTTGAACAGCACCTTGCCACGAAAACCAGGTCATCATATGGCAGCAAAAACAAGACTAAAACACTTCTAAGAAGTCTGATCGGCCAGCTGACCAGAGAAGTCTAAAACATGTGTAACTGTGAGATCTTTCTTGTACTATAGCACTTGTCTGCATATTTGCAGAAGCCAAGATGCCATATTTTAGCACATGAAATAAGCAACCTTGAGCACGGTTATTGCTTTTTCCTGTGAAGAAACAGGAGATACATTTTCTGAAATAAGCAAACAATATATTTGTCTTAGTGTTTCTCTCTTCTGTTATACCTCTACATTAGTATGTCTGTGTATGTTCTGCCTATTTGTTAGAATCTACTAAGGTTGAAGTGGGTATCATTTGCCACTTACCTATGTTGCAGTGAACCCACGGCACCAAAATAGCATCTTGGAATTAGTTTTGCTCAAGGCACTACAAGCCTACAGTTCAGCAATGTGAACTTTTAAGTTTTGCTTCCAAATGGACAACATGCCATGTATGTTGAGGAACAGAACTTATCAAGTACGACTGGGATTCAGAAGGACTACATGTAAGCATCCTGGCACACACTGGATCTTTACAGCTGCCTTCCCCTCTCCTTTCCTGTTATTCCTGAACGTTTTAGGACCATTTGGAATAGCATTCAATGCAGTACCAAGGGCATGGAACCAAAAAGGAACATCAGCTGTCTCTTTGTACTTTGCACATTTACACGGGCCTCTTTGGATCCCAACCCTTGGGTGCAATCCTAGAGCACTAAAGTCAGTGCAGAGTTTGCCACTTATTTCAGTGGAATATAAATTGCACTCCTTTACGTTAGTATGTTACTGCTTCCTATGCCTTTTGATTCTCAAACAGTAAAATCCAAAGTACAGAGTTTGGAATGATAACTGAAATATTTATAAAGGACGGAAAACACTCTATCAATCCCGAAGCATGATACTTCAGGTAATTTATAACGAAACACTGCATATACTGCAGCCCCAAGGTACTTGTTAGCCAATCTGCTCAGTGGCTGTGGTGATTAATCGCTGACATGACAACACGGTCGGCTTTAAGAAATAAATTAGCACAGTGTGAAGCATTCTCTTATGTTCCCTTACCTGTGTTGACTCCGATGGACCTGAACTGACCTGGACAGGATTCAAGACACTGGGGATGCCAGGAATAGGCCTCTGGGTAGGAAAGGTTGGAGCGGGATGGATGAGTGGAGGACTGTGTCCAAAGGCTGAGCCCAAGCTTTGCTGACGACTGATGATTTGTTGATGCATCTGCTGGAGGGATACTGGTGTGGGAGGATATGTGAAACTCAGCGCTGGGCTGCAATATGAGGGTTGTGGGATGGATATAAGTAAAATCAACCAAAGAATCAAGCAAAGAGAGGTGAGATATTAGCATCTTCAGAACAAGGAAATGTTCACCTCCACGTACTTCTACGGTTCTATGACTTTCAGTACTTCAGCATCTACAGATACCACAACATATATACACATATAAAGCAAACAAGACATAATAAAAAGAAACAGTACAGAGGTTAAATTTAACATTGTTTACAGGCAGAGTTCAAAGTGCTGATTATGATATAAACCCTATATGGCTGGTGCCTTCACTACATGAAAGAACTCCCATATGAACCTGTCCAGTTCTTCAGAGCTTTGGAAGAAGCCCTTCTTCTTGGAACACTGTTTTCAGAGGAACATGTACACACAAGCTGAGAAAGCCCCTTTTCAGTGGTTGCTCCCGGGCTCTGGAATTCCCTCCCAAGGAAGAATTGCTCCCTCTCTGTTGTGCTTCATCCAAGAGGCAAGGACTGCTTTATTCAAGAAGGCCTTTGGCCTGTAAACTCATTCATTGTGTTGGGTACTGGGCTTTTTAAAAAAGTTGGCAAACATTATGATTTTCTTATAGTTAATATTTTAAAATTTCAATCACTTTTAATCACTTTAAGCCACCTCGAGTACCACTTTTGGTAGCAAGGCAGGATACAAATCAGATAGCTCATTAGCTAATGAACTGAATGCTGGGGAAGTTAGAAATATCTTATAATTGTTGCCAATTGCAGCACCTCAAAACACCCTAAAAGTAGTTGGTCAGAGGAAGGCCCCAAGAATAGTTGGCCAGTAGTGTGTAGTAAGCCAGTAGTGTGTAGACAGTTGTACTGTCCCAGAAGGGAGGGAGGAGAAGAACAAAATGAACTTTGTGTAACCCACAGCTAACACGCTAGCCTGACCTCGAATACAGTAATCAAAGGAACAGTGGAAACTGGTTCTAGCCGCCATGAAAGTTACAAATGTGCAGGGAGTAAGAACATGGCAAGCCTGTGTGAATATCGAGCAGATAAGAAATAGACATGGAAAATGTCTGGTCCTTGACAGAAGAAAAGACTCTTTGAAGCTAACAGCAGTGGGGGTGTGGCTACATTGATATATTGATGTATTAGATGTGTATTAGGTGACCTAACTGGTTACCTAGGGTATAAAACGCATGTACTGGGGTGCAACTTTTGAGACACTGCTTTGGGCTGAATGTTCCCTTTTGTCTCCCTATATTCTATAGTGCACTAGAATAAAGATGGTTTTGGCTCTAAGTATCGTCTCAGGCTCCTTTTGATTCGGGTCTGGGGTCCACCCGGGTTTGCCCTAGCTGTTGACTGGTTGAGTTCAGTAACAGTTTCTGGTGCCCAACATGGGATGACCGAAAAGACTAATTTTGCCTCAAAATTCTTAAGCCTTCTCCCTCAAAGAACCTCTCCTCAGATGGGTGGATGGCTGGCTTATAGAGCTCTCCCTCAGCATTTGGGCTGAGGCAAATTTGGCCGGAACCTCTGCCAGCCATAAGCAGGGATGAGGAAAGGTGATTGAGAGAAATGCGAGACTAAAAGAGCTACCCCTGATGGAACAAGGAGTCCCCAGGTAAGGAGAAAGCTTCTGCTGGAAAGGGCCACTGCCTGGGGGAAGACCCAGTTCCTAAAGAAAGAGAGGGCCTCCAGTTAGAGTCTGGTGCTGGTTAGAGTCCAGCAAGCTGCCTTTCCCTGCCTGACGACCGGTGACTCCTGGGTAGGGTTGGACCCTATGAGAAGAGGCAAGATTGAACAAAAGGAGAGAACTCCTTGGACAGAGATTTTGGAAGCCATGCAGGGCTTCTAGAAACTCTTGTTGGTACAGGTGAAGTAAAGTCAGGATAGAGTCCAGTCCTGGTTTGAGTCCAGAAAGAGCGGATCCTGCATAAGTGCGTGAGCACTTTTGACCAAGGATGCCTGGCAGAATTGACAGAAGGAAAATCAGAGAGGTCTGTTGAAATCGTTCTAAAGGTCTTCTGCAGAATGCTCAGCACATCATGGGTCAGGGCAAGTCAAAACAAATGTGTACGCCTCTGGGTTGCCTTTTGGGAAATTGGGAAAGGTTCAAAGGAGATTCCATCTCAAAGAAAAAACCAAGTCTAATATAATTCTACTTGGCTCCAGCATCAATTGGACGGTGGGGCAAAGTAGCCACCTGGAGGGTCTATCAATTTTCAGACTCTCCAACAATTGCAACTTTACTTTCTGCATACTGGTAAATAGCTCGAGCTCCTGCACATGCGTTTGTTTGCTGGAAAAGTGCAGACTGGTCCCCACTGGGGAGGATGGAGAAGAGAAGAAGGAGAGTAGAACTCACTCTCTCCCCTCCAAAAGCCAGCAGCGCAGTGTGGGTATGGGATTGGTGGTGTGGGAGAGGAGGGGAGCTCTGGGGATTCTTCCACCGTGCCTGGGTGCAGTGGTGGCTTTCATGGCCAGGAAGGCATGAATGGGCAGTTGAATCCTAGCCCAGTGGCTGCAGTTTGGAATCACCAGCCCTTCAGCCCTTCAAACTGGCTACCTTTAAGATCCAGGGAGAAAAGAAAGGAGGGGTTTCTCAAGCTAGCTCCCTCACTCCGAGAGAGAGACAGCTCAGCTTGCCATGAGGACTCTGTCCATCTGTACTTCAATTAGCTACTCTTGAGAAAACCATAGACCAGCCAGTCTCATTGTTTATGGTCTGGGATGGTCAAAAGGTTTGGGATTTGGTGTTTAAACTTCCAGTTTTTAATCAGTGCTGCTATCGACTTTCCTCTTCCTCTTTGCATGTGTGCATGTGCTCTCTTAAGATCCCTCCACTTCTTTCTGTTTTTGTTTTGCTCAATCAAGTTTTGTTCCCCAAGCACTTGGGTGCCTGTGCACTAAGCATTGTGTACAACTCCTTGACAATATTGGGGGTGAGGTGCAGTTTTTGGAAACAGCTAAGAAGATGCATAGTTAAAAAGGAAATGTCTGAGTTTGGTAACATAATGGAAGTTAGGATGTGATGGAAAGTTGTATCAAGTGTTCAGATGTTAGAACACTTGTGCTCCTTACAATTTTTATTCTATTGATCCAAATGAGTATCTCTCTTCGCATTCTTATTCATTGTTGAATAATCTCATTGATTCAGACCCCCCTGTGACCAGTCCCTTGAGCCATGAAAAATAAGTCTTTGCTTTAAATAAGAAACCCCATAGGTGGGATTGCCCAGTGAAGGAGTTTAAAGGTCAAGTGTTGCCAGAAAGGAAAGGATCCAATGCAAAAAATGGTCAAGCAGTTCATCCAATGAGTAGAAGAAAGGTTGGTTCCTCCTCTAAACATAGGAGGAAAGGGAAGACGTTTGCACTCACCTTTCTTATGACCAGGCACACTGACAGTTACATTGGTTTCAATAGGAAAAACTGCACTTTCAGCAACATTGTTGAATGCATGGGTACTGTGTAAACTAAAATCCCATGAGTTGATGATATAAATACACTGTTCTGTTTTGGGATGGTCATGGATTCTTAAACAGTTTCATTTTAAAGTAGAACATATGGCAGATAACAGAATATAAAGGCAGAAGCACAATCTAGGAGAGTCTTATCCTTTGATAACTGGAACGCTACAGTTATCCCCTCAGATTACTGGAATGTGTCCTGGAGTGGAAGACTGTGATCTGCTTGTTTATAATTGAGGTGGGGAAGCAATTTGAAAAAATGTCCTGTATATAACTGTTGCGGTTACATATTGTTTACTTTGTGTGGCCTCTCACAGCCACTAAAGGCTCTGAGCAGTTTTGAAGTCCTTTGCTTAATTGCCAAAATATTTGCTTAATGGTGTTCAAAAGCAGGAGAGGAAGATATATGATTTGAATATTGGTAGATGGGGTCTGAATCAAGTAATTTCAATTCTGACTGGCTGGAGATTCTAGCTACGTGGAAAAGAGCAGCTGGGAAATTACAGTTAAGGTATGACAGTTGAGAATTAGTCTGCAGAGAATGAAGGAGAAGGTTGGCTGGTTAGTGTGAGGTGTTTTAGAAAGTTGAGGAGAAAGTATCGCGCTAAGGCCTGCATCTTTGTGTGATAATCAAAAGATACCAAATGATGGGGGACCTATGGCTCAACACAACTGAAAAGTAAAAAGACCTTAGAGTTATTGTGGACAAAAGGCTACATATGAGACAACAATGAGATACAGCCAAAAAAGGATAAACACTATTTTGGAATGCATTAGTAGAAATATTACTTCCAAATCATGAGAAGAAATCGTTCCCTTAGACTCTTCATTTGTAATCTGGAATATTGTGTCCAGTTCTGGGCACCAAGGGTTAAGAAAGATACAGAAAAAGTAGAAAGGGTCCAGAAGAGGACAACAAAAATTATCCACTGCCCTATAAGAAGAGACTGAGAAAACTAGGCATGTTCAGCCTTGAGAAGAAAAGACTGAGGGGGCACATGATATCACTCTATCCACAAGATTACTTCTGGCGGATACCAGAGTGTAGGATATGGAATAATCAACTCACATTGAGGCTAGATACCAGGAAAAGTCTCCTCATGGTGTAAATTGGTAACCAATGACTTTCTTGATCCCTTCCAACTCTTCTATGAAATAATTCTATGTGGGACATCAATGCTATATTTTCATGCCTGTGTTGACCTGTAGTTGTCTGGGCTATTCACTACATATCCTATATTCAGCTTATCTAACTTCTAAAGATGGATTCCTGTAAAGGCAAGCAAATCCTAGTGCCCAGTTGTCCAGGAGGGAACTGGAAAATAAAGTATGATGGCCCCTGCCTGTGCACAATCCTGGTGGCTTCTGGCTTAGTCTAGCTCAGACATACGTGGTGTATTTGCCCGCTATTGCTAATATTTTTCAATAACACAGAGAAGAAAAACTGAAATGGAAACTTAGACTACTTGTTACTGTTACTATTAGTGATTACTATTTGTTTCACTCAAGAGCATAAGAAGAGCCATGGTGCATCAGACTAAGGCTCCATATAGTCCGGTGTTC